CTTCAGAAGTTGTCTCCATCTTTACCTCTTTGTTAACCATGCATGTTTAGGGCCACAGTTGCTTGGCATAAAATTGAAATTTCTTCTCGCAGCAGATCACATGGTTTAGTAGATGAAAGAAGAACGGCGAGGCTGGGGAGGGGGAGGGATGGCAGAGCCTTATCCTCAGAGCTCGAATCAATCAGTCTCRCTGCTGTGCCAAAACTGACGAGGCTAAACTGCCTGTTGAATAGATAAGGCTTAACAGGAGTCAGCTGCTTTCAAACAGCAAGGCTCAAGTYGGATTTTTCCACTTATGACCCTTATAGGCACAAGGCTTGGGAGGTTTTATTTAAAGCAGTGTCATTCATTGTGCTTTTATACAAGTTCTATAATTTTACAGCTTGTGACTCCATTTTAAAGGTCATTTTTGGGATACAGCATTAAGTTTTGCTTTGTGGAACTTGCCACATGTGTTAGCAATGGGGATTACRTCACTGTGTGTTTGAAAGCGGGGACTTCCATAACAACTGGGTTACCAATAAAGAAAAAAAAACAGGAGGAAATTTTATTTTTTGGTCTGTTTCGCAGGGATTTTTGCTTTGACAAACAAGCAGGACACAGTTGTAGGCGACACTTGCTGTGCCAACCATATTCATCCCAACAGATGGTAGTTGTGACACTAACCCGGCCTCTACCCCCCCACCACCACCCAATTTCATTTTCCTCATTTTGTTCTTGGGCTACTGCTTTCTCTCAATTACCACTTATTTATCCACATATTTTCTTTTTMTTTTTTTCTTCCAACGGCACGAAATAATGTAACATTATCTCTCTGCTGCGCTTGCTTTTCTYCGTCACAGTACAACCCTGTCCTGCAGTGTGTTTAATCCCATCATGTGAACACATCAAGCTCATTTGAGCAAGAAAAAGATGAGAACAATCAAGAGAAAAAAAATTTGTTCACTATATATACAATGCAGTGCTTGTTCTGATAAAGAAATGCATGTCAGTTAAATTATCACCTGATTGTGCTTATTTTCTTTGCTAGTAGAAACCCCTTCTCCCTAGAATATTTATATTGTAATAATACTGCAATCAAAACAATTGTGCAATATAAAGAATAAAGTTTGTAAATTAGGAAAATACTATTTCTATTGCAGTAAGTTGTGGAAATTATGCCTCAATTTCTGAATAAATATTTTTTGTGTTTTTGTAATTCTACCTTTAATTTTTTTAAACTTAATAAAGGGGGCATATGCAAAATCCACTTTGTTCTTAAAATGTTAAGATATCATCAAATAAAGGTTTCTTTGTGCATTATGTTTGCTTAAAGGAGACCAATTCAATTCAATTCAAATTCAAAAATACTTTATAGATCCCAGAGGGAAATTTGGTCAGTTGTGGGTCCTAGAAATGTTTATGGTATGTCTGTGGGCTATCAGACCATGTTCATTCAATTTAATGCACAAAATAATTCTCAGATAATAAAATTTTCAATTTTCTAGTTCTGCCTGCTCTGACTTCCGTTCAGAAGAGCTGTTTATGTTAATGAGCTCTGTTGGTAACGCCCTCCAAAAATCTGACGACATTAACTCCGCCTTCCAAAGCCAGCGTTTACGTTAGCATGGCTAATAATAGCAGAAGCTCCGTTGAGAACCATATGAGACTCAGAGGCAGAGTCGTGTCGCAGCTTCTTTATTTTCTTCTCCCCCTCCTCTGCTCTGCGCTCACTCTGCTGTTACCAGAGCAGGGAGCAGCAGCGGTGAAAATACCTCAGAAACTCGAACAAATAGGCTTTAACAAGGTTTTAATAAGCTAAACAATAGAGGTTCATGAGAAAACGTGTTCATAACGAATGAAAATAAATAAATGATTAAATAAATTGTGTCAATGCTAGTCTCAAACCCTGGTCTCCCACACTCTGGTCCAACACTCTACCCATTGCCCTATTGGAGGCCTGTTGTGAAATGAGCTGCACATTGCACAACAACACCGTGATGGCTTTTTATACTGAGGAGGTGGAGTTTCACCTAGGTAAGGGGCTGAACTTAGGTTCTGGTGGGTTGTCGTACGGCTTGTGACATCACAAAATGACAGAAGTATAAAACTTGTCGTTAATATACATTAAAAATACATTTACTTACAGTAAATGTGCCCCTGGGTGCATTTTTTTTGGTTCTAAGACTGTTTTTTAAGAAGTACATACCCAAAGTTGAGTTAAAAAAAAAACCTTCAAACAGTGAATTTTGCATAATAGGTCCCCTTTAATTGCTGAAGTCTTGTTATAACTGGGGGAAAACGAATCTGATTTAAACCTAATCTTTGAGGAATATTATATATTTTTCTCTCTTCAGGGCTCTTGGAGAAAGATAACTGTAGATGATTTCATGCCGTTTGACAAAAATGACAACCTGCTCCTCCCAGCCTCCACCTGTCGATCAGAACTGTGGCCCATGTTGTTGGCTAAAGCTCTAATCAAAGTGGCCTGCACAAAGTAAGTAACCAAACATTCCAACAAAAACTCTGTATGCGTTTTAACACGCTCACTTAGAAGGAAACTCTAGTCCAACGTAGGGGCTGCTATAAAAATTCAGATGCAGTTTGACTTTAAAAATACCACTAAWAATGAATCCTAAATACCTTTTATTTATGCTGCTGACCTAAACTACAGCTATAATATACAAGCTGGTACGATTGTGTAGTTTCAATTAAATTGATTTGATTTATTGATTCAACAGGAAAAGATTACTAAAAATCAAGCCTGACTCAGCATAATTGCTGTTTTACAGCAGGTTCCTGTTCTGCAGCACAAAAAACACTCAGRAATACAGCATCACAATCACATCATTATACACCAYAGACACAAAGACAAACAAGCATACCAAATTTCAGGAAGGCAGCATTTGCAAAATAAGACATCTAAATATGAGCACAACAAAAAGTGTCCAGCAGATGGCAGACAAGATTCTTCTTAAAGGGCTGTAGTTTTGAAATGGACTTTATGTTTTGAGGAATGTCATTCCATGCTTTAGTATAAACATAGAAGAAAGACCTCTGGCCGTAACAGTTTTTAAAAGTTGGTAATATCAGTTGTCCTTTTCAAGACRTTCATTCAGTAAATCACATTCTCTGTGCAAATTGGTTTGCATATAGGTTTTTTTTGCATTAAATACGTGCTAAAAGGTCCACTTTCAGCAACTGTAGGAAGGCATTTCCAGGGAAAACCTTGGACTTGAACTCTCTGACACACATTCTCTTCACGAGTTTGATGTTAGTGTGTGCTGCTGTATGTGCTTATTACGTTTCTGATTAGTTCCACACGGCTCTGCACTTTTTGGAACATATTTGTGTGTTTGTTTCTCAGTACAGTGTTCAAAGATGGCACAGAGATTGGTCCGTTTACTTTTATTCACAATCTCACTGGCTGGATCCCTGAATTTATTCCTGTCAAGTAAGTTTCTGCTCAGTTGATTTGAGTTGTCAGTTTAAAGTGTACGTCTGATTGTGCTCATATCTGCTTAGAAATTCTAACTTTATTTTATGTTTTTACTGGTTTTGTTATATTTGCAAATGTTTTTATTTTTTCACTAAAAGGGTAGACTAGATACAGTTGGRATACTTTGACACTGAATTTTTTTAATGCATAAAATAAACAATATAAACATGAGGAGATGGCATTACTGAAGATACATTTGAAGCATTTTTAATTGGCAGCTCAATGCATGTTTTGTAAAGTAATTCGATCATAACTTTATCAGTTCTTTTTCTTACTCATTTTTTAGGTCAATCTACTCGAAAAGAATCTGGGATTTCCTTCAAGACACCGTTCCTAAATTTAAACACCAGGATGAGAGTTTGACGGTGACAAAACCTGACATGGCAGATCCTGCTGCAGGGACAGATTCTTCTCTAAATGACAATAAGAGTCTGCTGCTGGAGACAAACATCAACGAAGGTCCAGACTGTTCTGCAATTAGACACGCATTCACACTCACTGAAAAATCTGTTATGTGCAGGCAAACATCTGCAAATGTGTATCTAAATTAAATATTCTGCTTCCACATGTGAGTAAATTAGTTAAATGAAGGACGCACTTATCAACAATCTCATTTTGTTAAACAGATGCAAAAATACTCTTCTTTTTTTTTATAACTTACAAAATGTTTTAGTGATTTTCTACGTAAGTTGTCAAATATTCTGTTGTCTATATAATCAYAGTTTTTTATCCATTGTTTGTTCTTTTCTCAAACGTTTGGTTTTTCTGTGTTCATGCTTCATGGAGTTCATGGAGGGCATTTATAGGGGACAATAAATAAACCAGCAGAGGGAGCAGTAGAAAGGTGAAATATGWGGTCCTCCCTCAGGGCAGAGGAGTCTCTAAGTCAAGTGTGGTTATCTGATGTAGGCAGGATTCAAATATGTCTGCTGTGTTTTTTTTAAGTGCCAAGTCGTAGTAATACTACAGACCTTTTTAATTGGGGTCTTTAACACGCTTATTATACTCAATGTGTATTGAATGATTTACCTAATTAAGAAATAAATGAACACTTTGTTTTTTAGTAACTGTAGGTAGGAAAAATTAAACCTTTATCCATCCATCCATCCATTCATCCATCCATCCTCTACCACTTATTCCAGAGTCGAGTCACTGGGGCAGCAGCTTGAGCAGGGAAGCCCAGACCTCTTTTTCCCACAGCCACCTCTTCCAGCTCTTCTGGGAGGATTCCAAGGCGTTCCCAGGCCAGACGAGAAATATAGTCACYCTAGTGCAGAGGTGCCCAAAGTGGGGCCCACGGGCCACAATTGGCCCACCAAGCCATTTGATTTGGCCCACGAGCAGTTGTCCTGGTTACTACAGTAGATTGTAATTATGTTAAATATAAAATACAAGTAACTACAAGAGATGTTTAGATTAGATTTAAGTCCATATCTAGATTTGCACACCTAATAAGATCCCATATACTCAAATTTTAAATTATGGAAAGTCCCATGAGCCTTTGCTGCCTGAGCAGAAGTTGAATTTTCTCCATGTCAATGGGTTGGAAGAAAAGAAAATGTGGGCAACCACACTGGCTGCTAGCTTAATCATAAAAAATAAAACAACTTCACTTAAGAAGTAATTGCATTTCTTATATTATTGCATTTGGCCCACGGCCCTCAGACTGATTTTAATTTTCCCTCTCAGGGAAAATGTTTGGGCACCCCTGCTYTAGTGTGTTCTGGGTCTTCTCAGGGTCTCCTCCCAGTCAGACATGCATGAAACACCTCCCTAGGGAGTCGTCCAGGAGGCATCCCAAACCACCTCAACTGGCTCCTCTCGATGTGGAGGAGCAGCGGCTCTACTCTAGAGTCTCTCCCAGATTACTAAACTTCTCACCCTATCTCTATGGGAGAGTCCAGCTACTCTGTGGAGAAAACTCATTTTGACCACTTATCTGCGATCTCGTTCTTTTGATCACTACCCAAAGTTTGTGGCCATGAGCATAGACTGAAGGGTACAGAGTTTGTAATACTGCAGAAGCTGCACCGATCTGTCGATCAATCTCACGCTCCATTCTTCCCTCACTCGTGAACAAAACCCYGACTCTGAGAGAGTGATCTTATTTCTTCCTCCTTTTCACATTTCATGTGGCTCTCTCACTAGATCGTCTAATGTTCCTCTATAATTCAACTCCTTGTTGGATATACAGTACATTTGCAATTAACATTACTTTAATACATTTAGCTTTAAGGRAATACGCAGGCTGATGCTTCGTACGCAATCATGATAAAGAAAATAAAATTCTTTCTCTGCATTATAGTGCTTACTGTTATTTCATTAGAATACATAAATAAACATGCGAGAACCACTTAAGTGTTACATTTTTAATGTGTTGTCTTTATATTAGCCTTGGCAGCACTCCCCTCTCCCCTCATCATGGCCTGTCAAATTGATTTTTCGTGTCTCCTGGCCCACGTGCTCCACTGCATTCTACTTTTAAGATGCACCGTGGGGGCTGGGGGTGGGTGGGGGCTATCCTCCTTCGTGGTTTAGATATAATTAAGTGCTGTTGTCTTATTTATAGCTGTGAAAATGAAGTGTTTCACATTCCTAAGGTTTCATTTACTTGAGTTTGGTATTTCTGTTGACATAAAWATTAGTACGGTTAAGAGTTAATTTACAGGTTTTCAGTTTAGTGTTGCTTTGCTTTGTTTCTACAGTGGTGTTCGTCACATGTGTTGTTAAAGGGATCCCCGATTAGTTGTAACATTAGACTTTATTTGATAAACATATGTTTTACAGTTAAAATAAATGTTTATCAAATAAAGTCTAATGTTACAACTAATCTGGGATCCCTTTTAATTTGTGTGTGCTGTCTTTATTCTTTGTGTTTTTTCAGGTGCCCCTGAAGTAGTGGTGTGTGCCAGCTTTTGCCAGCAAGTTGATGACAGTTTCTTTGGTTTTAGCCAAATGGTATTCTCCCACATGACTTACTTTCTTCTGGCTACTTATTAACACATTTTTACTCACTAAAGTTGTTTTCGAGGCTCACTGCATTGAAAGATATTTTGACAGTCTATAAATTCAGAATTCACTGCTGAGTTTGCAGATTGCAAAATAAACTGTATTTTTATATATCAATGATTTGAACATTCAAATTTTAGTTTCAGCATTTGTTTCATATTTTACTGCGTACAGTCATGCCACATCTATGGGGTAAATTGGTAAGATTTGTGGGGTAGTGGTAGGGCGAGTCCCTGACGTCTTACAAGACAAAAACAAACAAGGCAGAAGCTCACACCCTTAATGAAAAAAAAAAACCAACAGAAGCTCACAGAATGTACAGTTTTAGCCACACGTTGCACCACAGAAAATGCACATAATACAGTATATCACATTAGAAATGTAAGCATAAATGTGATTAAAAATACTTCTTGAGATTTTTATCCCAAATTACAAAACACTCTCCTATCAGATGCAGTTCACCACCGTATGGAGGAAGTGATCTACCTTAAATTACTAAGTCCTGGATCAGGTTTTTGAGGCTTGTGTGTCCTGTGTTAGGTGACGCACAACGCGAACACTGTTAGGTCTAACTGCTCAAACAAACTTTCTCATTAACATAGTAACGGATCAGTTTTGCTTGAGTGAATAAAAATATTGGTAAAAATATGTAAGAAGGTGAGAACCACTCAAAGATTGTGTGATGTGTCACAAATATCAAACTTTATTTCTTAAAGATAAAAACTTGTGAACTCTTGTCTCTTTTTTTCATTAAGGATGTGAGCGTTCATTTTGTAAAGTTTTGTCTTTTTTATTTTGGTTCAATTTTGTCTTGTGAGCATTTTGGAACTGTAAAGTCACAGGTTTGATTCCCTGCTATGCCCATGTGTTGCAGTGTCCTTGAGCAAGACACCCTTTCCTAACTGCTCCTCATGCAGTTTCCTGCTGCTCCACTTGGGTGCATCTCAYGTGTGAAATGGGTCCAATATGGAGAATAAATGCTGTAATTGTATGGGCACATATACTAATGATGGCACTATCACAGCTTTTTACGTGCCTGTTCTGTACATATATTCTCTGTATGACAGTATAGAATTTTAAAAATGCACTAATAATATTTATTGTTTCTGACTGAGTGCTGTATTGTTCCGTTTTGCAAACACACTTATTTATTGTTTTGTCTTTCAGGCAAATGCCTCAGAAGTTTTGCGTCATTATGGCTTATGCCTTCTGCACGGCCATGTTGTCCTGCTGACAGGAATCTGTGCAAGCAAGCTGGAGGCACCACCCAAACCTCCACCTGTACCCAGTTGGAAACTCATTCGTCCACGCAAAAAGATTGTGATCTCTGAACCACAGAGTGAGTGAAAGAAAAGTGAAGTAGATCTAGGAATTGGCTGCAACTGAATATATTAAACCATTAGAAGAGCACAGAGGATGTCATTGTGTGTAGGTGAATGATAATAATAATAAAAAAAGATGAATGTAGAACAATGAGTGAMTATAATTCATGGTTTAGAGTCCTGCATTTCTTCTCAGACCAAGAGTCAGTGACATGTTTTGCTTACTGTAAAATGTCATCTTTTATGATTTTACTCGTTATCTTCTGTTTACTCTCGGACAAAGTGTTATAAGATCAGGGCAACACATAAATGAGTGTATCTGAGACTGCCTCGGTGCACACATTTCTGTACCACTGCTCTGTGTGACGGGGTGTGTGCCTTGCAATTGCAACAAATCTAGTTGACCTTTCACGGAGTACTTTTTTTGTTCTTGAATCTCATCTCTGCCCAGGTAAAATAAACTTTTCTACGACAATCTTGGCGTCACGAACATGTTCCACTCCGGAGCTCCGCAGGCAGGGACCAGAGGATCTCCTTCCAATGGGTGAGTGAATGGWGGAGCTGATGGTCTGGGCTCGGACCATGACTCCACGCTGGAGAAAATAACCTTTTTTTGCTGGGCAGGAACACGGTGAGATACAACTCTGTTGTATTAATGCTAAATGTATTTCTGATTTGGCACATTGCATGAGAAATTCTAATCCTTTTATGCCCACGGCCACCGTCTCTCCCGTTGGTTTATGGTWGTTTTTACGAGCGGTTAGACCGTTCGACTGGATTGAATTTTACCAGAGAGGGGATTCAGTTTCAGGGAGTTAGCTTAGCCACTAGTTCTCTTTCTAGCCTAGACAAAGGGCTAGCAGTTAACAAAATAGTTCTGTCTCTTAAAGAGGGTGGCCGCTCTACTTAGCTGAGGGAACAGCAAGTTTTATTCCGTTGTAGACACGACAAGGAATAGAGGACGGGTGCACACATTTCTGTACCACTGCTCTGTGTGATGGGGTGTGTTGTGTGCTCCTTGCAATGCAATAAAACTTGTTGACCTTTCACGGAGTACTTTCTGTTCTTGAATATTGTCTCTGCCCAGGTAAAATAAACATTTCCACAACAATGGTATTTAGAACACTGTGCAGAAGACATACAGTACTGCATTGTAAAAATTAAAATACGAGCACACCAGCTGTAATAGTCTAGTTTTGAAAATACCTGTTGGCTCAGCCATAGCTGACATAAGCTGATCTCTGACTAAAAATGCTGTGAAAAATCTGAAACTGAGTCTGACCAAGCAGTGTTGGTAAGATGTAGGAACAGTTTCTCCTTTTGTCTTTTTTGTGTTTTCTTACAGAGCTTCCTTTGCCAAAACTGGACCAGTTTGTTGAGGTTGCTACCCCTTTTCCTTTACATGACGTCAAAAGCAGCAATGGCCCCATCCCAGAACCGTATGTAACTATAAATTATCTAAAGATGTAAAACCTCTCCTCTCCTCTCCTCTCTCCTCCAGTTTGCTGTTAGCAGTTTCATCCTCGATGTCACCATAAAAGCAAGAAAACTGGTTCCACACTGGGGTCAACACTGAACATTTTTATGATAACATTACTCTTTTTCTTAACATCTGACATCTGTGCATCAATTTTTTAATCCACCAAGGCAGTTTTATATTATTAATATAAACCATAAGCATTTTTAAAAATTCCCTCACTGTTACAGTATAACACAAAGATTTCTTCCTAATTTTAGTTTGTGATGTTACCTAAAGTATTTTGTGCACATATAGTAAATTAATCACAAATCAAACCGGTTGAATAAAGATGCTGTTCTGGTGTTGATGGCTTCAATGTGGCACGCAGTTTTTAGGTAAAATGGTTCATTACATTATAATGAATATGTTTTTGTGAGTCAGAGATGCCGAGCAGAGTGCTCCAAGGAAGCAGTCCTTTAAATCCTCGTTGGTGGCCATTACTGAGACAGAAGAAATGGAATCTCAAAAAAGCCTTGAGCCTGGCTGCACCACTGCCTCATCAAACACAGAACAAACAGAGGTACATAAAATTATTTCCAGTACAGTATTTTTTTAAAAATACAACCGACTCATGTTTTTTAAGTTTAAAACATGATTGTTTTTTGTTGATGCACTGATCCCTTACAATTCTCTATGAATTTTGGGTGTTTTTGATGGTTTTCATTTTGTTCTCCTGCACCTCAGTGCACCCTGTAAGTATCCAGCTGAAGGCTGATCATTTGAGATCTGTGTGTCAGTGACAACAAGGCTGCCATCCCCCAGTCTCAAAGTCACTTCTGTTGTTTCCCAGTCAGACCACTACTGACCAGGGGCACTTTTGGACTAAAGAGAGAACCAGCTCAGAAAAGGACATACCAGGGGGCTGAGGTTCAGAGCAGCAGCACTAGCGAATCGGAGAGAAATGAAGACAGAAGCTGGCAAAGAATACGGGTGGGGACAGTGCTAGACAATAATAAAGGAGGGAGAAAAAGTGACAGTTTGGCAGGGTGAGATGAAAGCAGAGCAAGAAACGGGGGAGATGGGAAAAGAGACTGTGTTGTGTGATGGCAGTGAGCGAGCCGTGTGGGTTTTATACAGAGAGAGGTCGTGCACTGTGCTGATGAAAAACGCAGCGCAATTAGATGGTGAGCCATCAGTGTCTATGTCTCTTGGGGGGGTTCATTATTACATTTCACTCCTAGCACACAGAGGAAAAAATAGTCCATATTAATCACCCTCTTGTGTAACTGTGACCAGTTATAGAGCAATGAGGTGAGGGCAGTGCAGACATGCTAATGCAATGTCATTTTATGTACACACACACAGACGTTTTGGGCTCTCAGTTTGCATATGGCTGCCATATTTATTGTGACTGTGACCCTGCTCCTCTCAAGCACATGCTGGGTCACATGCTGAGAAACTGTGAATCAAGCAAGGGTGACTTGTGCTGTTTTGACCCCTCCTACTGTTTCTGTCAGTCCTGGCCCACAGAATTGAGCTGTGTGTGTGTAACTCCAGGATAAAAGGGAAGTTCTGTCACGTGGCGCCTCTAATACCCTCAGTAGCCCACTCACTTCACTGTGTGTGAGCTAAAGCTTTAGATTCTGGTATAAGCTCATCATTATGTTTGGATTGTGGTTATTTAGTTAATAAATTTTAAATAGGCCAGCACATGCTTTTGTTTGTTTAAGGGGGAACTCTTCAATATAAAAGCTATCTTTTTGAGAATTGAAGCTTAATGTGTGTTAAATAAAGTCCATTTAAGAGTAGGATTATATGTGCCCTCTAATAACTATAGAGACTTGACTATAATCTGATCATAAGAAGAAAAAAAAGCTGTCTCCTTTTGAAATCTGCAGCTAAACGTCCCAGGGCCCTTCTGTGCAAAATCTATCAGTCTCAATATCCCCGTTCTATACAGACAGATAAGACAAATAGTCTCATGAAGTTCTGCACTGCAGGAGCACAGAACATCTTGTGCCTTGAAGCCTCACTGAAAGTTCCATGCACTTTTGCGAACGTGCACACAAACATGTACATATTGACATTTGTGTTGCAGGAAAGCTCTTGTATAGAGGCAGAGAGGAGGTCAAGTGTGCCTCCCGATCACAATGCCTCTCTCCGTCTGTCTGTGTCTCTGGGTACTTATTTGAATAAGTGATGACTCACATCCAGCTACACGCACAATCTCTCTCCCACTGAGTCGTCAGAGTCTTGGCAGGGGTTGCTTTGAAGTTACACAATACAAAGACGCACTTCTTGTTCATAACCGAGTAAACTGTTGTACGTTTCTTTTACAAAATGGAGGACAAACCTCAAGTGAATGGACTTGTAGAGAAGTTCAGATAACTGTTATAAGGTGACTACACTTTTAATAATATCTATCATATTTATTCAAGTAGAATACGTAAAATTAAATCCATAAAATCATCCATAAAGTTGGGGGGTAGTACTATACTCAGATAAATATTTTTACTTGTGTATTTTAACTGAAATATCAGCTTCATTCACAAAATGCCTGAGTCCGGAAATGAGACTGCGTMGTAAAAAGCAGTTGAAATGAGCTCGCCTCTGACACTCCTCTGTGCTTCAGAGCGAGATAATAACAGATCCAGGCAGGTGACATGATGTGAAAAAAAAGGTGGAGGGTATTCCTGCACCTCCAGTAATAATGAACTAATGACATTAGCGTGTGACCGGGCCGCTCCTCGAACAACAACAAACACAGGTTCATCTGTAATAGCTGCCGTCTACCGGTGTTCTGAAAAAGTTTGTATCCCTGAAAAAACATTTCCCCACCAGAGGGGGCGCTCGCGAGTAGGAAGTAATCTGCTTTCCCCCCACAAGATGGCCCAAATCTCATGTGAAGTCTCTGACTTTTGTGTTGGCGCCTCCTGGTGGACTGTGTGTAAAATGCCAGAATTCATATGATGCTGCTACAGCTGATATATATTTGTTGTCAAAATACCTTTTCATACATATGTTGTTAAAATAAAATGAACAGTCCAATGATCATTTTACTGATATGTATAAAGACTGCAAAGGCTGAAAAATCTTGAAGTCTGTATGAAATTGGAGGTAGTTTGAGGATTAAATTTTTTATGCTTTTTAAGCTCAAAGTGGGGGTCGTATTATACATGAGATTGTATTATACACGAATAAATATGGTAAATCCTTTTCCAGAATATTATCTTTGTTTCCTGCCTAATTAAGTAATTTGTATATTATATACTGTGGCAGCCATTTACAACAAATTTATCTTTGTATTGGGGTGTAACAACGCATAACTTCACATCAATACAATATATCGATTACTTTTGTATTACAAGGCAAAAAGAACTGATGTATTTCATCATCATATGTCCATCTAACAATCATTTAATGATTGTGTTTAATGGATATATATCGCATTAAATCAATTACAGACTTGTGAATTGAACTGAATCCAAATTGTATCATGACAATCAGTGTTTTACACCCATAGTATATAACATTCACTTTACCCCAAACCAAGTTATTATGTATTCATTAGTTACATTTAAAAGCCCCATCATAAAAAGTATGCTAAGAAACAATAAATACAGTAGCTATAAATGTTTCCATTGATTCAGTCCCCTGGTTTGTGGGTGACAGAGAAAACAAGCACTCCATTTTAACAGGAAAGAGACCTCCAGCAGACTCGAGAAGGGTGTCCATATGCTTCAACCAGTTGGGGTGTGAGGGGACAGGAGAAGTGCACAAACTAACACAAATAAACCAGATAAGAAATTCAAAATTGGAGGCMTGTAAAGAACAGACTCGTTAGCCATATCTATTTTCATTTGCTCTAAAGACAGGCAGGAAATCAGAGCTGCTGTGTAAATTACCTCTAAAAGAAACAACAGACTACACAACATGCTAATTCCTCATCTGTCACTCACATTCAAAATAAATTAGAGCCAGTAGTTGCTAGTGGTGTTTTTAGCAGGGGAGGAGCAGCTCCTGTCACATTAAACTGCGTCTCAGTGTTGGGCGAGAATGGCACAACACCACAACAGGCAAGAAACTACCAGAGGGTAGGAGCGTATCTCTTGCAGTGGAACTCTGTCAGCAGCCCACAGTTCATGCCTCTCTCACTTTTTCTTTTTTTACTCCCTCGTTTGTCCCTGTAGGTTACAGCAGAGGACAAGAGAGAGGACAGCGATCCCATCTCCAATGGTAAAAGCTCTTCCTGTGCGATGCTTCCAGTATTTGAAAGATAAATCAGAATGCAGGATTGTCTTATCAGATGTCAAATATTGGACTACCAAAATGGAAAAATCCTCATTATGTTTTGCTGGTGTTTTAAGGATTCCCATAATTGGTTTACTTAAACAGGGTCAGTGCAGTGAAGCCCAGTTAATGTGATTAGAAGTATTTACATCCATCTTCCCCCCTCTCTATGGGCCAAGATCATTTCAAAAAGATGGGACTAAAATTATGCTTTGTGACATCAAGGCAATTCTCTGCCTTTTTTCCTCTGCCCTCGTTTAGTTGCTTAGTAACACCTGCAATTGGAGTTTGGAGACCACCATCGCTGAGCTGCAGAGATACTGGCCCTCGGCCGCCTCAGCTTACTGATCAGAATTCTGCTTGGAGTAGAGCTCGGGGGCAGACCGTTTGTGTGTGCACGTGTGTGTTTTTGGGGAAGGAGAGCGTCTCTGTGCATATGTGTGTGCTGGAGATGGTGGGAGTCTGAGTGGGAGTGTGGATGTGCGTGTGTGCTTACACTATGCCATTATGTGGGAGTTTGGCCAGTTCGACTTACTGTAATGATTTCAGTCTAGGAGAACTTGCTGTGAGTCACAAGCATTTTGTTGCTTGCAGCATTTTGAGACTTGAGATTTCACCATCAGCTCTATATCAAATAATTGGCACTGGGTGWGACATCATTTCAGTTGATACAGTACTTCTTGATTGGGAAATATTTTTCCATTGTTGGGAAAAGTGCATGTTGGGAATTTATTTTTAGCAACAGAAAAATCATATGAAACCACACTGCATAATCTTTTAAATAATTTGATTTTCAGATAGACCAGCAACTTCCATGAATAATCCCATCGCTAAGGAATCCTCAGATGTTTCCTTTCAGAAGATCTGCATGGAGCTTGATGACTTTGCAAAATGCTTCCAGTGAGACACAGTGTGAACATGCAGGAACACATATTTAGATTGTACACATGATGCTCWTAGTTCTAAAAAGAAAGTAGAATAGTTGGGTGGTAAAAAATGTATTGAGCTGCCTGAGCAACATAAAAAATTTAAAAATATATATTTTTATTTTCAGGACTTTCCTTGTCTTTTACAAGCCACTCGTCTATCCTCATCAGATACAAAAGTCACATTTTAAGGTACAAAATRTAAATCAAATAGAACTCATTGATTTTTTTCTGATTAACTTTGCATAACTGTGCATTCCAAAGTTTAGATTTTATTTAGTGTTTTTATTTTATTTACTGTTTGTGATTATGATTGTTCTAATGGATTGATTAGTAAACAGTAACTATATTATTTATTTGTCAACAGAGTACTGTCCTACCCAAAACTATAGGCAGCCTGACGTGCTCTGGGTCCCTGACTGTGGCAAGCTCTGAAGTACTGATGCAAACACACACATGAACAAACACCAAAGATTAATTTAATATTTGTTTTCACACTTTTTACTCGTAACATTTATGTTTTATTGTATTCTGCTTCAGCTTTTGCAGCATTTGTTTACTTTATCACATGCTCTCGAGGCGTCTTGCTTAAATGTCAACTCAATCATATTTTTACTCAACCGAGCTGAGACAGGTTTTATCAGTTAATCATTCCTCTCTGTGGCTTTCTGCACTTTCCCTTGTACCGTTCAGTGTCTGCTTCTGAATCAATATCTAAGAAGTGTGCGTGTGTGTGTGCGTGTGTGTGTGTGTGTGTGTGTGTGTGTGTGTTCCTGCAGCGTATAGAAGTGAAAGGCACTTACTACCTGTGTGTGGACAGTCTGCAACCTTCCCAGATCCTCATCGGTTTATCTGCTCTTCTTCTCTGGGGAGATGCAGGTGAGCAGAATAACAATTGTTTGTGCACTCTGACACACAAATCCATACTTTCCAGTGTTTATGCACATTTAATTTAATATGTGTATTAATAATCCTATGACATCACGTTTCTAATTATGTATTTTGTGATTCATAGAAACCATAAATTATGAACACATATTCATTTAATGAAAACACAACTGTTACCCATGACTTTTATTGTGGTAAACTGCATGATATGTAATATTTTTTGTAACTTTTCATTTTCTCCTATAGAAAAGCAAATATCTGGTGTTTGTCGACCCGCAGTGCTGATTATTCAGCCTTACTCCTGGACAAGTATGCAGTCTCAGCTGCCAGTTCTCACCATCAAGACCACCTGCTCAAAGGCAGCTATGCTTGGCATACCCACGGGGTAGGACAAATCTGTCAGAGGCTGAGTTCCTTGTAATCGACTAATTAAATTAGAGGCTTGGACCAAGTTTGTAAACATCGTCACTGGATGTTAATAAACTATTTTTAGAAGATTTTTTGAAGCTTTTTTCAGGACATTTTTGTTATGACTTTTGGTACTTTAGGAATTTATACTTTTATTTGGCTTTTTTGGACATGCTTTTCTCACTAAAACTAAATGTAAATCTTCATCAACATTCTTAAGAAACTTCAAAATGTTTATAAATCCAAGCTGTTTTAAGTTAGTTTCAGGGTTTTTTTGAGCCATTCAGAAAAAGTCTTTCAGCATCAAGCATTCACACTACATTTTTGCAAGAAATGCAAGTTCTCTAGCTTGATTTGTAAGTCTTGATTCTTGTTTTTGTGTAATCAAAAATATTAACATGTAATCAAACTTTACACATAACCAAACATTTAGTGACATGTTTGCTTGTGACTGTTCTGATCAAAGATTTTCTGCTTTAAAACCCAAAAGTCTTCAGTGAACAAAAACAATGAAATTTGACTTGTTGTTCTCTTTTGGAGTGGACTGTATGTGCTGTTTTTGTGCAACACAGGKGTCTTTTTATAAAGTGAAAATGTGTTTGAAGCCCTTTTCATTCTTGGTTTAATCTTTACAGTGATAAAATGTCTACTAAAGGTTCTTAGAATGTGAGCAGAGAATATTTTCCAACCCCAACTGCTCTGAAAAACAGTAAAAAGCACCTGTCCCAGTCTCTATTAATGGGAGCAGCTTGGCCTAGAAGCAGAGGGCCTAGTTTCTGGGGTCAGGTGGAGGTGTGCAACGCTGCAGTTGCCACTGGGCCATAATCACACTCAGCTTACAGTGCCCTACGGTTCGTCCTCTTTAACACTTACTGACTGATGACATCCAAGATTTTTGCCAGCAATCATTTTGTACACTTGTGCATGATGTATCCACATGTGCTTGGCTCATAATTTAATGATCCATCTTTCTCTTAAGTCTCTGCACATTTTTGTAACAGTCATATGCAAATTCTTGACTCTTTTTGTGATCTTTCTTTTTCATTTTATTTTTCTTATTTTTGCCTTGACTCCTTTGTTTTTTTCCTTCCTTTTTATTTCTTCTGGTCTGCTCCTGCAGCTCCAGTCTTGCACTGTTGCAGTGCTCATCCATYTAGTTAGACTGTTATGGGTGAATTATGTAAAGTTAATGGGGCCAGGCTTGTGAGGTTCCACTCTCTCATGCCTGATCAGGTCTGTGAAGTCAGCTGGGTGTTTGCTAGGCAGACAGGATACGATACTTSTTACTGTTCAACCCACAAAATAACGGTCAGACCCGAGCAGTCCTGTTTCCAAACAGGTTWGGACTTTTAAAATTAACGTATCAATTTGCAGCATCATTAAAGCGACAGACTTTTATCACAGATGTTTATCGGAGCTGTTTAATACTGTGAGGTAAACCTGGACGATATGGTCTGGCTTTGAAAATATGATTGGTTATCATTCTCCCCATCAGGCGCCACGTGTTCTGTGTCCGAATCCACGCACCGCTGGGTTACCACATCCACCTGTGCAGCAACACACCTTTTGTCTTAGGGGATGAAGAAACGATCATGTCACACCTCACAAAGGTGAGCATTTCAGGTAGTTCTTCGCAATGTTGCTTACCCCATTTGACAGTATATGGTCCATAGGTTTGTGTAATTATTCTTGGGTTTATTATTAATAATAATAAAGTAAAGTTTACTTATATAGCATCTTTCATAGACATAAAATCACAACAAAAATGTATTTTCTCAACAGGAAAGTGCTTGCTTTACTGARAAGGCTTTGTCCATATTTGGGGCCCTGTCCAGAGTGGTGGCTTCCTTTAATGATGAGCTGGAGCTAGCAGTTCTTCACAAGGCTTTGGAAGAGACTCAGAATATCAGCACCAGCACAGAGGCCCAGGACCTCCACAAGGTACTTCCATTATAAATTCTTTAAATCTCTTTTTTACTAGATACACCCCWAGAAAAAAAGATTTAAGAACTCATTTAGCTACTTTTTCAAATAAAATGTTTTCTGTACAGTCTAATAACTCTAATGTGGTATGTTAAAGCAGTTTATACTGAAAGGTAAATGCACCAAAGAACTGAGTTTTAATTCTTATGTAAATGTTAATTTTTATTTATTTGCATTTATGTTAAGTACAAATAAGTGTGTGTGTGTGTATGTTGGGGACAAGGTGTTGAACTCAGCAGTTTACAACATGGTCTGTGAGGCCCTGGGCAGACAGCTGACAGCAGAGGAGCAGTTTGCTGTCCAGACTCTTACTGCTGACCCCTCACTTCTGACATCTGACTCTGAAGGATTTCCTCATACCCGTAGGTCCTGTTTGTGTGGTTTCTGAGTTAAAAATGTATGAAATGTATGTTATCTGGGTGTGTACTTTTTGTTTAGTAATCATCTAAAGCATTTAACAGGTAAATTATTTCTGAGTGAACAGTTTGAATTTCACTGTTTTTCATAAATTGCTGCTGATGTATGMAATTTAGTCTTTGGTCAAGTTTTATTAAAACAAAGTTAATTCTTTTTATTCTTGTTTTTAAATGGGACATATCATGCAAAGTCCACTTTTAAGCCATTAAATACATATTGTTGTGTACTCAGGCTCAGGTGTACTTAGGTTCAGTTGGTAGAACTGTGGCCTTCTTACAAGAAGGTTGCCGGATCAAATCCTGGCCGAGGACCTTTCTGGGTATATTTGCATGTTCTCCCTGTGCATTCTCTCAAGGCACTCCGTCCCACTGACCAAAAACATGACTGTTAGGTTAATTAGTAACTCTAAGTTGTCCTTAGGTGTGAGTTAAAAAATGAATGGTTGTTTGTCTCTGTGTCACCCTGTGGACTGGAGACCAGTCCAGGGTGTACCCCACCCCTCTCATAGTCACTGGTGGATATGGACACCAGTGACTCCTGTGACCCTATAAAGAAAAAGCAGGGATGGATTTTAAGTTCTACTTTAAAAAGATTTGTTTTATCAGTATTTTATCTTAATTAGTGTCTRTATCAGAAAATACTGGCTGCCAGGTTTAGAGCAGAAGCACAAGTATTGATGAGACTGACATCCTAATGCAGTATACCATAAAAAAATGAAGCGTGGTCACAAAGAATATGCAGCAAAAAATAAAAAAAATAAATAAAATAAAGCCCTTGTGCAAACATTTCTGCATCTTTAAACCTTTCATTGGGGACAGGAAACAAATGGATATCATGGAGACGGTGGATACTTTACAGAAAAGACATAATTGCATGTCAACATAGAACTTGGGAGGTTTTCTTATGTAAATCTATTCTGCAATTTTGCTTYAGAAAAATGTATATAAAGGTGCATCATGCTGCAGTTAGTTCCTGAGGAAAYGCTCATGTGTCACATTTCTATTTATTCCTGTCGCCTGAGGCTAGCTGTGGCAACTCCAGGCACAACACAAGATAGTGTCAAAACAAAACACCAGTTGTGTTGAGATGTTGCCTCTTTTTTAAACTTCAGTATGGTGAGTCTTTCAAACATCCCAAACACTTAACACCATTACAGAAGCCRTCTGCTTTAAGTGCTGATGGGTATCTGCTGTTACCGTGAGGTAAACCTACCTCATTCATAAATCTATAATAATGATCTGTCATTATTTTTCTCAGTTTCAGTTGTTTACTTCTCAAAGCACGAMGTGCACCTTGCACGAGTGGTGTTTACAGGAGGAAATATAGCAACAAAACACTTGTAGATTAGAAGCAACACCTTCATAGTTCTTATTTTAAATAGCTAAAAAATGAGAGAAAGATAAAGTTAAATGTRGAAAACGTGTGAAATCTCAAAATACAAAAATCTGGAAATCAAAAGAGCAAAGCACAGAAACAAAACCAGCACTCAAACTGTAAACCTTGAAACAAAAACAGACAAAATTAATTAGAAATGTTTTTATTGCCTATCCTGAACTAGTTCATTTACAATTATTTTTTGTGTTCATACCACAGGAACGTTTGATTATAATTTTTTATTGTTTCTGTGTTTCTGTTTGTTTGCTCATGTTATCCAGGAACAGAGGAGARCCTTAGAGCTTTTAAGATCCTGTCAGACATGTGGCCAAAGATTGAATCAGATGCAGAAAAACATGCTGCCTTCTTGTTACGGTAAACGGAGACTGTTGATAAAATGTATGCTACTTTAATGTTGAATAAAAAATTTCCTCCTATACACTTGAGCCTTTCTACGGAGCTCGTCTGGGGACATTGGATACAATTTCTTTTTTTATAATTATGTTGTGGCTGCAAAATAATTATTGCAGTCATTTTCATGCAGAGGCTTTTGGTTTTTTTTACACACAGAAAACAAAAAGTTTCCCGATACACACATAGGGCGATCAATGCCACCTTATACTTAGCCTACTATGGAAAATGAACAGTTTATATTAATATACACCAAATAATAAGTGTAGGCAGTTGTGGGCAGCGCTAACCCAAAAATTAGCTCCGCAATTTCTAAAGCGCTTATGAAAATATTTAGGTCCGCAACTTCAAAAACACTGATGCTACAGGAAAACTAGCGGATGCAAATTTTAAAGCGCAAGTTCAATTTGATACTTACTAGCTGGCAACAATTCATGAACAATATATGCACAACTCTGCAAACTAGCAGTGTATGAACCCTTGTACAGCTTAATCCTACAACCATCGATTGCTGGGGATGTGATTTCCTGAAACAGACCTTTGGCTCCTGGTGTAAAAATTAAATAGTTGTTGAGGATTGCTAGTTCGGCTGCTTATTTGTCTTTTTCTTTTGTTTGTTGTAGATTTTTCATTAAAGAGGCATCAATAAAGCAATTTTAAAACTGTTTATTGGAAAACTGAAACAATGCATTCTGGGTACATGACGGATTTGATTTGTGACGGGAAACGAAAGTTTTCCATGTAGTTGCTCCAGTTGACCACTAGATGTCTGTCTAACCCTGTTGGCAGATTGCTTCGACCAGTTACGTCAAGTATTGAGCTCCAGCGTTTAAACTTTTTTTTTTTTTAAAAAGGAGCTCCGGCTGTAAAGTAAAATAAATCAATAATACAAAATTTTAGTATAGGTTACAAACGTTTACTGTTTTTGCTGGGAAAGGGAGTACTAAACACTGCCCTCCTGCTACGTAAGCAGACACAAAGCGTTGTGGGAAATGAGACCCGTGACCGAAAGCAACAGTCAGCAAGGATGTATACGTTTCCAATACATGTGTTTATCTGGGAGGTGTGCTGTTGCACAGATCACGGGTGTTGTGATTTATTGACAGCCATACCTTCTGCTGTTAAAGATAATGATGACTTGTAGATAATTAGTTATTAGCAGTACTGAATTTTCATTTTAGAAAGTGCAAATCTGCTTATAAACTATAAAAATTAGTAAGGCCGCTAAAGCGCAAATGAAATGTTTAGGTCCACAATTAACGGATTTGCATTTTAGCGGTCTAGTGCCCACCACTAAGTTACCTTACCTAGTTACGTAGGTACGTAACTTTGAACAGTTCAAAACAAAAACAACACTGCTCAAAATGATCTCTGTCACGTGGCCATTTGTTGTTAATGTGTGGCCACGAGACACTTTTTMTTATTATTWTTYATTAAGTGTCACTGGACGGGTACCATATGGGCACTGTGGATGTTTTCTAACACAAAGGTTGTTATTTTGAGAGAATATGAGCGCAGCCTGACTGCAGTCTTGTGCCACTGCTGTGCACAGTGTATGACACGCACACAGCCTCTCTGATGCACTGCATGCTCAGAGTCTGCCCCCTCTCCTGGTTGTGACAGACTGTTGGGGCCATGCAGGGAGCATTTTCCACATTGTGCTCCATCTTTTCCCAGTGGTACCATCTGCTGTTTATACTCTCCCCGTTCCAATCAGCTAGTGGCGTCTGCCGAATGACCTGCTGCCTGGGGAAGCATGTTTGTACACGAACACCAAAAGCTCAGTCAGTGTGTGTATGGAGGGCAATGAGAGGTGTATGTCGGCTGTTGTAAACCCTTGGAGCATGTGCTTGTCTAAACTGACAGAAATGTCCACTTTATGCTGACAGGCAAAGTGCACATCTTTTTCTCCATTGAGCTCTTCTATTTATGTTTTTAATGTCATTTGTAGAAATTTACATTAGTGAAAACATTTTGTTTTGGTGTTTTTAATATATAAAACATTCTCTTGCTGTCTGTTATCTGCTCAGGTACATCATTAAACATTCTGGGAYGAACGACAGACTTTGCCCTGGTTTACAGGATGACTCGACCAAAGTCACCTTTGCTGATTATACTGTCTCTCTCCAAGACACATCCAGCACCTGGGTTTTGATCTTTAGGTTAGAGAAGTTTTAGTTTTCACGTCTTCACRATGTTTGGAAAATCTGGTTTAAACATAATATGGTGTATTATTTCTGAAGGTCTCATACTGTAAAAAAAAACAAAAAACATTTTGTTTCTCTGCAACATTTCCAGCCTTCATTGTGCTCCTAAACTGCCCTTGAAAGTTCATCTCTCTCCATTTTCTTTTTGCTTGTTTGCATAGAGAGGTGTTCYTTGTTCCTGAGGAGATGTTGCTGGTACCCAAAGTTTACTCCCCCTTTCCTAACTGTTTGCTTTACGTCATAAACAATGATACAGGAGAGGAGTTGTACAAGCTCAAACCACTCCCCCGTGTTTATCAACCCAATGAGGTCTGTAGAAATGAACTGTTGCACGAGTTCACATTCATTTTGGAAACAGCAACGCTGTAACCAAGTTTGTAAACAGCTATTTTATTGTGCTAAATACATATACACAACATACATATTATACTTGTTTTCCTAGTTTACATTAGTCTCAAAATAGATGTTTTGTCTTTATTTTATTTTTTGTCACAGCATGGTTATACTTTCGTAGCTGAGGCTTTTACTCATGAAAAACCCTCTGGGGGTGCCAAGTGGAGGATGCGGTTGATTGGCACAAATGAACTTCCAAAACTGCCTCGTGAAGCTCCTCTTAATGCATTCTCTGTAAAGGAAATCAAGGATTGTTACATTCCAAACAATAAAAATATCATATGTCGGTGAGAGAATGATTGCACTGTATTTTTTGATAACAGTTTAAGAGTGTATAACATTTATTAAAAATCAAGAGAGTGCACTAAAAAGTGTGCACATTAAATATTCTAACATTAATACTGAGACTAATGAGGCTGCTATATTCATCTGAAATCTTCCCACAGTTACTGTGTTCAGGTGGTCACAGACAGCGTGGGAACAATTCAGTTTGAAACATCCAACCCAGATGTTGTCATACGTCTGTCTGTTCTGGACCAGGAGAAAGAAGTGGCCGGCATTACTGGGAGAGGTTTTGTCTTACTTCCTGTGTTCCACTTCCTTGCCAAGAAAGGTTAATAGTTGTTATTCTTATGTGTTTTCTGAAGTAGCTCATTATGATTGCTGCAAAGAAACTGTGAATCAAAGTTTTTTATGTGCTAGAAAGTTACAAATTCATTATTTGTTGAGTTGTAAACATATCTCAAAAGGTTAAATTTAATACTTCACTGCTTATAGATTAAAAAAAACAAAACACTTATTTTTTACCTATAAAGTACAGGTTCACACTGCAGGCAAATGTGACCCATATTAGATTTTTTTCCTCACAGTCTGAACGTGATATCCAAATTTTTTTTAAAATCCGACCCAGATCTTTTCAGTATTTGCTACTAAATCAGATACATTTCTGATGTTTTTTTAATGTAACTGCAGTTTGAACGCTCATCGTTTTTCATTCAACTTTTGCTTCAGCGAGGTGTGAGTGGATCGATTCAAGCATTTAGAATATTGTTACCAACCACATGCAGTTTAAATCTTGTAGCTGTGCATATCATTAGAATTGACACGCTAACATGTAGCATCCATAGGCTACTTCTGTAAACAGCGAGCTGAACGTCACGTTCAGCTCGCTGTTTACAGAAGTAGCCTATGGATGCTACATGTTAGCAGTGACGTCATTTTCTGCTCACGCGGGTCACATCAGGACTGTCTGTGGTTCATACTGGAGTCTGATAGAGGTCGCATTTAAAATATATGAATGTTCACACCAAAAAATGGATTTTTCAAACCATCAGAGCTGAGCSAGCTGAGCATTTAAGACCTGCAGTGTGAACCTAGCCTAAGAGATTGAAAAGTGGATGAAGAAATACATTTCTGAACGGTGGTGTCCGTTCCAAAATCTGGACTGAAGTGAAGCTGCCTTYTGTTCCAGAGCCCGGTTCCACAGAAGAGAAGAACCAGATTGAATCCCCCACTAAGGACGCACCGCAGCAAAGAAATGTGACAGAAAGTTCGGTCAGAAAATCCGACTCCTCGTCCGACCAGAACCAGACTCCCACGAYGACTGTGGTATCACTGATAACACTTAACGGTTTCACTTTCATGCACATCTCACTTTCCCTTTCTGTCTTTCTCACCCACTTGGTTGCTGTCTGTCCTTATCATTTTTCCCTGCCAGATAAAGTCCTGATTGTAGGCACATACACACTAGTGCGTGAATTTGCATTCACCCACACACATTCACACTGAAAAAATCTGAGAAAAAGAAGAGCAGCAGAATTTGGAGGGATATTTTTGTTGTTACTCTCTGACTTATCAGTGGTTGTCATGAGCAGTAAAATGTGCAAGAATTATTGTCTGTTAACCAGACATGTTGTCACAGTTCAACAACAGATACTCTGTATAATCATAGGTTTACATGTGTTGTAACTAATACAAATCAAATTGAATTATTTCAATATTTCCTCATCAAATGCCTCTTATTAAATACAACAAATTAAATTAAGTGAAAGTTTTATGTAAGTACAGCAACAAAACAAAAAAACAATGTTTAGGTTATTCATAGGCATTTCAGAAATCCTAAGCACAATTTACTAAATACATTTGAGTGGTTTATTTCATTCGTCCACCCCACCACGATCAGAACCAACAACCTTGCAGCCTCTTCAACATTAGAGGAGCAGAAAATGGCTCACTCAGATTAAATGCCTCCTTCCTCTACTGGGATGTGGCTGAAATTCTGTCTGAGGTAGAAGTCAAAGATCTCTGACAGATTCTTCCGTCAGGCATTTCCTGCAAACTTTCACTACACAGTGTGGATCCACTGGGTCTGTCCAGCATCCAACCTCGCCATCTGATCCTAGTCACCTCCAGGTGTGATCAGTCCCCAGCTCAGCTCTTCTCCTCACACAAGTGACCAAAACATCAGCAGATCGGACGACACAAATAAGTCTATCATTGCCTAGCCTCCCAGGGTGTCCTGGAACGTTGTTRAGGACCGACTGCTGCTAGCACTGAAGTCTAATAATACAGTAGAGCACTGTTCAGGCTCAGATCAGAAAGTATTAAAAATGTCAATTCACCTGGTAAAGCTACATGAGAATAAAATTCCTTTTTTTGCTGCATCCTGTGTGCCTCTCTGCCAACTAAGGTTTCACTTTGAAATTTTTTGTAAAGTCTTTTCAACTTGAAGGGATCCCTGATTAGTTGTAACATTAGRCTTTATTTGATAAACATATTTAACTGTAAAATAAAGACTGTAAAAATACTGTAGGATGTTCAGATTTATCATTTTTCAAACTAAAAGTTTAAAAATATATTACACAGACGGGGCCATTTTATTTACACACAAAGCATTCTGGGTAAATGATGACGTGGATAGGTCCTCTGTGCGAGGCTGCTAGCGAGCTATATCCACCCTGAAGGTTAATCTTGGACAATATCTGATGATCGACTCTTTTAAATGAAACCAGAGAGCGTTGACAGAGAGGAGAAGGTAGAAAAGACTCAGCCTGTAACTGAAAATATGGATGGAGGACAACAGAGCTGCTTCATGGAAGAAGAACCTCAGCTTAGCCTGTTAGCTTTAGCGTTAGCCCTGATGCTATCACCATATATATGTATTAGCTCAGTGCTACACATTCTCCTCTTGTCACTGAGGTCCTCCATCCACATGACAGAGAGAGGAACGCAAAAATGACTCAGCTGCAACTGAAAATATGGATGGAGGACCTCAGTTTAGCTTGTTTGTCGCGCTAGTGCCGAGCTAATACATATAAGGCAATATAGCGTCTGTGCTAGTGCAAAGGCTAACAGGCTAAGCTAAGGTTCTTCTTCCATGAAGCAGCTCTGTTGTCCTCCATCCATATTTTCAGTTAAAATATATATTTAAAAATTATAAAAACTAAACAGCCTACAGTATTTTTTACAGTCTTTATTTTACAGTTAAAATAAAAAAAATTATCAAAAAAATTCTAATGTTACAACTAATCGTGGATCCCTTTAATGTCATACATGTGGGAGTTTTCACCCATGATGTAATCTTATAAGGTCTTTGCCTCCTTTTACTTTTGTGCTTCAGTGAAAGAGGGCAAAGAAGAGCAAACACACGTTTTTTAAAGACTACTCTTTTTTTTCCTGAATCATCCATCTAGTTTATGCCTATATGTTCATGATGAAATTTCAGTTTTATAGCTACAGTGTTGTATAACACATGCATGTATGTAAATCCTTTTCTACTGTACGTTCATTGTCTGTTGATGTGTTTTATGTGATGTGAATTTACTCATTTGTGTTTTACAGGATCATAAGTACGTGGTGCAAACAGAAGTGCTGTACAAGAGCTGGAATTTGGATGAATCTCAGTTGGCTTATATCCAAATGCTCGAAGACATGAAGAAAGCTGAACGGAAAGGTGGATACTGTTCATAAGACAATCATAATGCCACATCAAACAGTTGAGACATTTTTAGTGACGGATGGGAATGCCAGAAAAGCTACTCACAACAACAGGAATATTATGAGCTGAACATGTTTTATATAAATTATAGATGATTCAGATTGCCTCCAAAACACATTCCTGCAGGGAGCCATGAAGCATTTTCCTTTTTACTATTGCATATAAAAATAGTCAGCATTTGAGCCTGAAGTTATGTTGTAAGATTCCTAATATGCCAGTTGTTGTGAACATTTTTATTTATTTTTTGTTTCTAATTTGAAATAGGTCTAATGCTCAGGAAGCAGTGTCAGAGGCTAAGGCAGAAGCAGTTCATCATCTGTTTGATAGCCAGAGGCCTGTAATCGCCAGCCTAATAAAAGCCACATGAATACAGCTGCTTTTACAGATCAGAGTGTAATTCCTTTTTGCCACTAGCTGTGGCAGTAATCCTGTCCTCTGTCACCACCTATGCATTTCCATTTCCACTGTAATCATGCTGCACAAATCAGATCAATTGAAAAATCACAGCTTTATTATTTTTTTTCTCCGCCCCCTCTAAGCCTCTTAACTATTTAAAGGGGACGAATGAATAACTGCAAGGGTGGATGATATTTTGATTAAAGGGAGACGATGCATGGGGACAGTTTGCATGACTGCCTGAAGAGAGAGGCCAGTCTGCTGTCACTGAATTCTCACACTCTTTTTTTTTTTTTTTCCTCCGGACAATCGTGCCAAGRTTTATACATTCAGTTTGAATGCCATGAAATCTACTGATCGTGTGCGTTAGAGTCAGGAACAAGAGGATTTGTTGCTGCCCTAGAAACACTATCCCTCTTTAATGTGCTATCTCTTCTTGGATGTGTGATCAAGTTGAGATTTCTGCCAGCAGATGATTGTTGGGTAATGCAAGGGTCAGTTTTCACACACCACTTTCTTGTCTTCTTTTTTTTCCTCCCAATAATTTGATGAAAATGGGTCAGTGTGATGTCAAATGAAGTTGGCTTTTGCCCCCCTGGTGCCCAGGGAAATATCCCAGCAGAAGAGTGAATTAATTTCACCCAATTTAATTCTGTCTCAGTGGTGGGACTGTGGCCTTGATCATGCTCCCTACATGCTACACAAATACACATGCAGCACAGGCAAGGCCAAGCTTTCACATCTAATTTACAGGCTGCTTAACTAACYACAAACAAAATACTAATATCTTAATAAACACATTCCAGTATCAACTGCAACTGTTTATACAACTTGTGTCAGCAATAATAATGTCCTTGACTCTTTTACATTTTTTACTTTTTATAGGAGAAAATTTTAGTTTAGAGCATTCMACTAAATAAAATAAATAAATATTTAATAATCTTTCTAGCTCATCTCTCAGCTTTAAATTAGAAAAGCACAGATTGATGTCTGGATGCATCTTATCACAGTAACTTAATAAGTATGTACCAAAGTGCTCCAACATGGCAGGGAGTCAGTTAAAAAGTGGATTATCTTGTCCTGATGTTGAAAGTGACTCACTTTATCTGAGCTGTGGAGGGAGTGTTTGTTTTAGCTTTAAAGTGCAACACTGCCATCCAGCAGACAGGTTGGTGCACAACAAGCAGAGCTGTTTCCTATCATGGGAGCTTCAGATGATAAAAAGCTTTCAAATAATTTTTTTAGCAATGAAAATTAAAAATAAATGATTGCAGACTTTCTTATAAGAATTAAATTAATCAAAATTATTACTTTCCCCTCGTTGGGGAAACATGAATTATTCACAACACTTTCACAAGTTAGACCATCAGTCTAAGGAGAAAATGTGATAATTTGCACTTTTTTAAAAACAGTTTTGAGTTTTATTTCAACTATTTTTAATCT